CACACACACACACACACACACACACACACACACTCTTGCACGCACAGATAAAACATACACATGAGCACACGGTGGCCATTTAGCGCAGCTCAGACAAAGAGCAAAGCAAAGCAGGGCGGGTTTTGTTGAAATAAGTCTTGAGATACAATCGGAATTGGACACAGTACTCATCTTTGTGTCACATATGCGTACGCACGCACATGCACACATACGCACACACACACACATACACTAGAACTGTGGCAATCACACAAGATAAGAAAATCTTTTTTAAAACGGAACCAACATTGGCAACAAGTGGAACGTCATCTGTTCAACCTTTAACAAGACCAACAAATCTTAATATGAACCAACGTCAAATTTTCCAAATTCATAGACAGCCACATCTACGTACGCCTGAATTTTGTCGTTAAAATTGAACTCACTAAAATTGAACACAGAGAAATTCAGGACAATTTAGAAAATAAATCTATTCATGTCGGCAAAAGGGAAAATTAATCTGCCTTTATTTGTGTCTGTATATGTATTTCTAATTATGTTAAGTGAAGTGGTATTCAATGAATGAATGCTGTAGACTAAAAACCAAGTGCAATAAAGGTAAATACACAATAAAAATGAGATTATTTGAGGCTTGGAAAAAATGTGATGCGTTCATCTGAAAGCCAATTCTAATATTTGTTTCACGGAATTCCATTGATTTATCCCCATCAGTTTATTTTCCTCTTCATTTTGTTGCGTTTTTCTGAGCTGCACTTCTTCTAATAGTGTTTGCGGATGTTAGATTTTCTTTGACCAATCATATTCCAGCCTGTGTACAACAATATCAATTTAATCTGCCTCAGCTCCTTCAGAATCAATAGTCCTGGTTGGCGTAATTTGAACCATACTAGCAATATTTCTTTAATCAATCACATTTCAAATTCGTCCCCACGGGGGCCATAGCGTTGATCCTCAACATTTTTCCGTCATCGGATTGTCTGCAAAATGCCTCCTCAAAATTAAAACAATTCGAGGAGTCAAACCATCCGGATCAAAATTCAAGTGAGTCGTTTCTTTGTCAAATGGAGGTTGAAGGTCTACTGACCAACAGCTTGAGCAGCCAGAAGCGTGACTTGTAGTAGCACGTCTTGAAGGGGTTGATGAGGAAGAGCAGCATGAAGCCGTAGAGGACGAGAGGGTTGATTTGCATGGGGAGGTAGAGGTACTCTGAGTACAGACACGACAGGATGCTAAGACACCATAACACACCGAGGAACCCAGCGATCTGCAAAACAGAAAAGGAACATCATGAACGCACAATAATTATGAGCCATCGTATCGCTCTTATCTCGGCATGTCGCATTCTAACCTCAAAGAGGTGCTGGTGTGAGAGGTTGTTGCGAGGATTGATCTCAAAGATGAGCACGTGGTTGACTCCCGCCTGTCTCCAACCGTAGGTGTTAATGCCCAGCAGGAACAGGAACTGGATCAAGAGAAATCCGCCCCGGTAGATCCGCACCAGAGGCCATACGTTCTCATAGCGGATGAACACTGCGCCTGGAAAACATACAAAACAACAAGTGGAGGAGATGCAATTAAAAAAAACTCAACATTCAACAACTCTGTCAGAAAATGGAGGGTGGGTGAGAGTTACCTGTTAGGACAAAGGCGATGGCGAGGATGATGAAGATGCCACAGTAAAGACCCACACGGAAGGTCGTCCAGGCCAAAGCAGGCTGAAGCGAAACGGGTGGACATTAGTATCCAAAAACAGACAAATAAATAAATAAATAAATAAAGATGATTGCATTTCCCATGAATTATCTGTCCATTTTGTTTCGTTCACAAATAGGTTACCTTTATTTATTTTCAACACTTCAAGTAGGGCAGTATTTGTCATCCTGTTATCGTTCTAATATATTAGGATTTTTAATTTGCTTTACTCTTTTACAAAAATATATAAAACAGGGGCATTATTGCAGAGATTTGAAAAGACATAAAATGACTGTACTGTATATTACTGCTACTGTGTATGTATGCGCTGAAGTATTTTTTTCCCAGATCCCAAAATGTGTCCACTCTTCTTCCTACCCCTTGTTCTCCGTTTTTCATCGACAAAATCGCCGCCTGGGGACCCGTCAGTCATCCCGCTCCTAATATTTCTCCATTGTGAGACGAATAAAAGTTTTCTTATTCTTATTTCCCTTCGCAAGCACAATTACGATTTTCTAATCATTAACGCAAATGTCGAAAAGGTCTTGCTCGTGTGATTGTGCTGCAATTCTGACCTGAGCGGCCCCCAGCGGAGGAACGCGTAACCTCTTCATCGCCCGCTGACGATCTCCTCCCTCCAGCTCTGTGGTCACCAACGTCTGGTTGCACAAACACGAATCAAAGCCTCCATGCACGTTTATGCACGTCAGACCGCGCGTATGTTGCGCACCTCAGTCTCCGTGATGAGCTGCGTAATCTTTTTGCAAGTGTAGAAGGGCGCCACTTCCACGTGAGCCACACGCCAGTCGGCCCCACGGGACGTATCCAGAATCTTGTCATGTTTCTTCAGGATCTTACGGAAACCGGTGAAATTCAAATTCTGTGGACACCAAAACAGGCACTGTTGAAATCAAATCCCAATCCACTTCAGTTTTGATTATGGATTTGATTGGATATTGAATATATAATCCGCGTATTATTCTGTTCCAGGAGGCGGTAGCATTTTCCATGTTCATTTTCTTTCTTCTTTTTGACATATTTATTATAATTTAATGTTTGAGAACATCCTCACAAAGACAACCAAAGTGAATATAAAATACAGTATTTAAAAGAGAATATTCTTTGTCAAGGGGGGAAAAAAAATCCAAACCTGTTTGACACCGTATAAAAAAATAATTGGCCTGTGAAGTGTTATTGCCACTCTTGGCAGCAGGAACTGAAATTAAAAGAGTTTGCAATTTCTGCAGATGAGTCTTTCACAACAGCGTGGAAGAATTTTGGCCCACTCTTTGATGAATTGTTTTCACTCAGTCATTTGAAGGCTTTTCACGCATGAACCGGGTTTAAGGACAGTGCAATTGCATTTAAATCCGGACATTGATGATGCTATTTAGCCATTTATTGCTGGCATGTTCTGAGTCATTGTCCTGCTGTATAATCCAAAAGTTGAGGGCACAAACTGATGGCCAGACATTCGCCTGTAGAAATGTAATTCAGTGTTTTCAATGGTCCATTCCTCAGCAAATCGTCCAGGGTCTGAAGAGGTCAAGCAGCCCCAGAAGATGAAATTGTCACCACGTCCGACGATTGGGATGTTTTTTTTTTTTTGTTTGTTTGTTTTTTTTTAAATATCAAATTCTGTGTCATTTTTAACACCCCTCTCGAAAAGTTAATCTGAACTGCATTTTTTTTTCTTGAGTTGATCAAGAAATACTGACATACTGATACCTGGTAGTTCTGCAGCAGGATGAGGCTCAGGTAGAACTCACTAAAGGCAAGCTTCAGATCCTTGATGTTGTGGTGTTTGCAGCGCTCTTCCTGCGACAGGTGGAACACGGTCTTTCGTCTGCGCAGCCCGGGCGGAGCGTTGCTTTCGCGCTGGGCATCCAGAGAAGATTGTAGCTCATTCTGCAAGGTGGCAAAGCGTCTTTGGGCTTCCGCAAGCTTTTCTGCAGAGAGGAAAGACAAATTGAGGTTTTAGGGCTACAGTTTCATCCAATTTCGACCACTTATCTTGTACAGGATCAGTTTTCAATGTTCAGGCTGGAGTGTATCCAAAATGTCTTTGGTGGAGAAGTGGTGTATACCCTGGACAGGTTGCCAGTCAACCACAGATGGGGCGACAGTAATGCATGGCTTTTTTTTCATATAAAATAATGATTCAGGTTGACACCATTGATCTTGATGTATGAAAAACTCCTGCTTTTACAATAAAGTAACTAACAAAACAAGCAAAAAAAAAAACAAACCAAAAATTATACATCCTGTCTGCATTCAGCCCATTTGTTCCAGGACGCCTGAGTATGGAGACTGTTAGTCTACTCTGAACTGACATGTGAGAAGAATCATTATGTGGGTCAGAGATAGGTTACCACACGCAGACGGAAGGATAAACGAGGTGAATTCCACGGGGTCGTGATAAGAAATGGAATTGAATGAACTACTCAGTGCATTTATCCGAATGTAAATCCTCCTGTTGGACTGAAATGACCACTTTTGCATGCCCCCTTTCCTCGTCCTAAATTAAGATACTGCTAATAAAATACTTTATTCTCCTGCGACCGTTTCAACATCGATATATTTGTTGAATATATATATTTGATTGTATTTTACCTCTTTGAATTGTCCTGTACAGTGACATCGTGTGGATTGAATGGCACCTTAGAAATGAAATGTATTATAGTAATAATAATAATAATAATAATAATAAATAATAATAATAATAATAAATAATAACATGAAATTGGTGATTTGATTTGATGTTATTGATTTGGCTGGATTTCAAGTAATAATACCGATTTTTTTTCGTGTTTGTTTTCAAATGGCACAACTAACTAAGGGAAACGATTGGCGAGGTTACTCTAATCGAATTGAATGGGGAAAGAGTCAGCCCAGGGCAGCTCAATAGTATGTAACATTTAACCCTTTCAGGGACAGCGGTTACTACAGTGGACAGCTTATTATGTTATCAGGTTACAGGCTGCATGAAAGGGTTAATATTGGGATCTTTTATGTCTGATTGTTTTCTTCTATGCTGGCGCTACCCGCTTTTGAAACGCTAGAAGCATAGGTTGACATAGAAAAAAAAAAATACAAACAAAAACAAAAAAATTGGAAACAGTTTGTATATTGCCACTACCATGTGAGGTTTGCTGTCAAAAAAAATTTGCCTTTGGTAAATCAGTTTAGCTTTAATGCTAACAAACAATGCAACGTGCCATTGACGGGCTAATGAATAGCATCTGTGGCGCAGCGTTAAGCAAGTGGGCATTTGAACACACGTAGGCAGGCAATGTAACAATATTCACAGGCGTACATTCTTTATCCTTTATGAGGACTAATATTACAGCAGCTCTGTGAGTCAGTATTGACACTTTGTGTTTGGCTCTATGTTTGTATTATAGTGCCCCTTGGTGGCCAAGGTGCACACACCTGTTGGAGCAGCACAATGTCCATTGAACTGAAGCAAATACTGCTTCCAAAACTCTTTTGATTCTTGACTTTCTAGATGAGTTGTGATTGTGTGAGGCACATGCTGGCCTTGTGCATTATCTGGTGAGGCTCTACATATCACGTTACCTGTCTTATACTCTACTTGGCCAGTAATATTATGGGATGTGCTTACTCAGCACCAGCATGTGACGGTTCTAAGAGGTGTGAGAAAGTCATGGCCTTGATGCTGTGATGTGCTGTGGGAAAAGTGGAATTCACAACAGCTGACCAGGCAGGGATGGGTTAATGAACCTAAACACCCAGTAGGAGGTAGGTTCTCTTTCCATTGTGGAAATTTCTCATGGAAATGTATAATTGGGGTGGGAGGGTGGGGGTGGGGGGAGGACTCAAAACAGACAGGATGAGTTAGGGGGATTTCCTTAGCAGCATTTTCAGCCAGGTGTGCGTGTTACTGCACAGACCTGGATTTGAGCGCAGTACAGCACAAAAGCTTAAGGGAGGTCATAACCCCTTTCACAGAGTGCTTTGCAGAGGCGAGAATGTTATGTGAAGTCAGCACACAATTTATCTCCATGGCTCCACTGCTGAGACTCACAGCCACCTAAGTGGCACCAGATTAAGTAGCCCAGCTGACTTTTCAATGTATCGCTTCTTTTTGGATGCGGAGAGATGCATTTTAAGGTTTCGGGATTAATGAGTAACCGTAAAAAAGTCATACGAAGAGATATCGAATGTAAGATATCCACATTAGGTTAACGTGGATCCAATACAAGAGGTGTATCGTTTGAAGTGAAGAGTATTCAATCAAAGCCGTACAATAAAGCAAGACGTCAGCCGTCAAAATAAATATGTCCTTCGAGAAAAATAGAAGCATGCTTAGTAAGTACTTTGGGAATTCAATCTCTGCTTAATATATTCTACAGTGACCTTACAGATGTATTCACCCACCCGTGAATAATCTCCCTGCTTAAGATGTGGAACCTGATGGCAAATCAACCTTGTCCTATTGTCGACCTGAAGAATCTGCAGTGCCTAAAAAAACCTCTAGAGGGAGCACCATGTGCCCTCCGTCTGAGCTCAAGTTCATTTATAAAAGTCCAGCAACCAGAATATATTTCAGCCTGTCTCATATTACACTTTGGGTGCATTCTCCCGTGCCCCCTTGAAATACTCACTGGTCCGGATTTGCTCATCAGAATATGCAACCTTGCTATGGTGCAACTCTTACATAGCGTGGTGAGGTAATTAATTTGTCTAGCAGGGTACATGTCTTGTGAATCCCTGGAGGTAACTATAATCGAATTTCAAATGTGTGTTATCACAATACCGTTGTGTGATCATACACAAATGAAAAACTGGTGTGTGTTAAGTTGGACTGAGTGACAAACGCAATTGGGGCCTGGGGTATTCATTTACTGAACTGCAGAGGGTATCAGGCATTCATTTGAGGTATGGCATTTATTCGGGGAGAGTCTTTCAGTTGTACAATCTCTTTTTTATAAAAGTAAATCACAAAAAAAAATCCTCACACTTAAAGGTACAAATTCTAAATAATGTAGCAACGGAATATGGATTATAATAAATGTAACATAACATAATATAGCACAGGTGACCTGGAGCCACTCCCATTTTACTAAATCTTATTTTGCAATTGGATTGGGAGGGAGGGAATTTTATGCTCTGAGACCATTTTGATTTTTAAAACAACCAGTGGGCCCAGGCAAACATTTTTTTGAGCAGATGATGCAGCCACTGGTGAATAACGGCACAGCGTTTATTGGAGAAGAGGCCACTATTTGATGAAATAAGACAGTTCGCAGATGGCTGGTGATAATTACCTGAATAAAAAGTGTTGATTTTCAACAGCTCCTTCTCACAAGTCTGGAAAAACCTCTCTTCAAATTTCGCATAGTATCTCTTCACGGTGTCCTCATCTGTGACTGGAAGGAAAAGAGAAACAAAAAAAAATGTCAGTTTGCTTTGTTCACTGTGACAAAATACAACTGATATACACATTAAGAAGAATTATGGATTTCCAAACAAAAGTGGAATGATGATCTGGTGTCACACTTCACACATAACTCCCCCCCCCCTTAAGAATGTTGACATAACAACTGTAAAACAATGACTTTTTTTCTCCTCTCATGAATTTTATCAACTAATCCAAATCATCTAAAGTGCATTCAAGAGGCACGTAAAACGAAGGCCAGATTGAAATTTACTTTACAGAAGAAGCTTTATACCGGATCATGCCGGATAAAATAGTGGCAGCATTAGATCCGATGGTAATGTCACCTCATAAACAGCGGCTATAATAGAATGACGGCTCGAAACAGAGGCTCTCTATTCTGCAAAGTAATAAGAAAGAAATGCCCCAGGCACTCTGTGTCTATCCCTGCGTGCACACATACAACTCACACGCCAAGCCTGATGAAAACGCATAAAACATGAAACAACGTCCTGAAAGTACAACAGTTTTACAAGAAAAAAAAACAAAACAAAAAAAGATGAGATCCTGCCTTCGATCCCGTAAAATAAACCACACGCCGCAGGAGCAAACACTTCATCGCGGAAGGGCAAATGTAATAGGAAAGGAAAAAGGGAAGTTCACACAGCAGCTGCGATACAAATTAACCTTTCGCCTTATTTGAGCGGCATTCTTGGGAGAGAGAAAGCAGCGCGTCTCGAACAAGATCATTAGTATAATGAGAGCGGTTGTAAAATAGAGAGCGAGCTACGTACTACAGCCGGCGATGCTCGATGAAGGACAAAGTGCTATAAAAACAAGAAGCTGCAGTCTTAACAGAGATGAACCATAATGACGGACACCATATGGATGGAAGAAAAGGGCTGAAACAATTCATCGCGTCCCAACCCCGTCTACTACGATTCGGCCGTCATCAACTTTCACCGTCCGTTTTGGTGCACTCACGTGACGTAGCTACAACGGATCAATACAATTTATCCTGGTCACCGTTGTGGGTGACATATCCAAAATGACTACCGGCAAAGGATTACTATAGAGCAGTGGTTGTTAACCTTGTTAGAGGTACCGAACTCAACCAGTTCATATGCACATTCACCGAACCCTTCATTTGTGAAGATTAAACATTTTTTTCCACATTCAAGACATAAAAAAAAAAAAAAAATTATTAAAAATAGAAAAAAACTTCCATAAAATTTCAAGTCATAAGTATATGTTTTTTTTAATTGTGCAAAAATGAACCAGCCATTGATGGCCAAGTGGGCGTGTCATAACTAATTGACATGTTGAGTTGGGTGTGTCTTAACCTCCATGACAGAGGCTCCGTCGAACCCCTGAGACCGAATCACCGAACCCCTCGGGTTCGATCGAACCACTGCTATAGAGGTTAGCTTCCTTTTACACTTGGACAATAGTTTAAAATAAATAAACACGATATTGATAAATTGCCATCTTTAATTGGGGCGGCAAGGCAAACAATACAAGTCGAGTAGAGCGGTCGTATCTCAACCCGGATGCCATCGTGACCCAGTCGAAGTGTCCTTGAGCAAGATACCTAACCGCTAGTTGCTCCTAATGCTGCGTCATCAGTAGCTGAATGAAGAAATAGTGCTCTCCAAGCGCTGTACAGGTGAACGCCCATTTACCATTTCATCGAGTCGGCAGCAGTGGATTTGATCTGAACTTACTGAACTAAGAGAGAACTTCATCTGGGTCGCCCATTCCCAACCAGGTTGATATGCGCTTCTATTAGATGGCAGTACGTACGTCCTGCGATGATGTCAGCAGGTACAGATTTCACACAAATCTATTTGTGAGGACATGTAGACGAGACTGTGATATCAGTAGTCACACTTAAGGCATTCTTTTGACTGCATATTCGAAATTAAAAGAAACAAAAAAAGATGTTTGTTTGGTCATGAGATTTTTCTGAATGTCATAGGGGTGCCTTGGCTCGCTAAAGGTTGGGAAGCACTGCCTTAGGTCAACCGTCAGAAGTACTGAATTGATTTCAAAGAAAAGGCCAAGTGGCGTTTGTCCCTGCGGAATCTGCGGAATAACAAGAACCCATTGGCCTGACATTTAAGATGGGATACAATATTATTTTATTTTGTTTTCTGGATGAGAGGAGGAGATAGCCAGAATCAGTAAAGCATATTTACTGGAATCATTTTTTGGGGAGGAATTCATCCATTTCTTGCTACCTTGCCGCATAAAAACTATCACGAAGCGTGAGTGAGGAAATCGAGGATGAAAGCTTAGTCTCGGTTCTCCTGCTGACCCAGGACACACAGTGCACGCAGGTGTGTGTGTGAGTGCGTGCCATTTCACTTCAGTCACAAGCTCACGTGACGTGAAAGAACAAAGGCGGCCATCGTCTTTGAATCCGCACACGAGGCCTCGGTTCCGGCCTCGCTAGATCATCTTGCTCAGCCGCTGCCTGAGCACGCATGAACATCGCTTCATTACGTCTTCTCAGCTCAGCTCCCGTAAATCCAATGAAAGCCCAATCATCTAAAGTTTTCAAATCCATGCGGTGATTAGCTTTGCGCGGCGCATCTTTAATTGAATTAACAAGAGCGTTTCGTGTAAATCTCACAGCTTCTATTACGGCTGCACACCGTGGCTCCTTATCAGCGCTCGTCTGGCCAGATGAGAGATTTATTTCAACATCCTACACCGGAGGGAGGCAGACTCTTTGGAGACGACTGCATTTCTTCTGAATCGAATAGGACAAACGGTAATAGGAACCGACAAATTACAAATGAATCTAATGGCCAGAGATACGAAGGTGCATCACATTCCATTGGAATATAGTCGAAAAGTGAATTTATTTCTGTCGATCGGTTAATAAAAATCATAAATAGAGATTCATTAAACAGCAAACGCTCTGTATTTTGTGTGTGTGGAAAAAAAAAAAAACACTCACACTTTATTCTTCAAGCAGACGTCTTCTTTCCAATAGCCGCATCTGCATGTTACGGGATTTATGTTGGCATCAATCAAAGCTAAACTAAATCAATAAATCAAAATCGTCAGAAGTCGGAAGCATTTAGCAAAGATTCTTAATTGCATTCAAGATAAATAATATTCACACAACGGGTTGTGAAATGAAATGCACAGGCAGATTTAGAAGGTCATATTTGAATAAAAGAAACTGAATGTGTGGCAACTTTTGAAATTATTTGGACTTTCTTTGAAATCACGCCAACAAAGGACATTGAATTTTAATATACATATTGTATTACATTTAGGAATACAGTCAAACCTCGGTTTTCGAACGTCTCTGTTCTCGACCAAATCGGTTTTCGACCAGAAAATTCGACATTTTTACGCCTCGGATTACAACCGAAAACCGGTTTTCGACCAAACTGAGCAAACCTGACTGTTTTTATGTTATTTTTGCAGAGTGTATTAGCCCCAAATCATGGGCTAGTCAAATAGTTTTGGATTTTAAACAAATCGCTTTTCGAACAGCCTTCTGGAACAGATTATGGTCGAAAACCGAGATATGACCATACATATTAATTAATATGATTTTTATTTTCGGTTTTACTGTTGAATCATTTTCATTTGTCCTGTACACAAGTCTTACACTTAACATTGTGTGTTATTTTTGCAGAGTATATTATTAGCCCCAAATCATGGGCTAGTCAAATAGTTTCGGATTATAAACAAATCGCTTTTCGAACAGCCTTCTGGAACGGATTATGGTCGAAAACCGAGGTATGACCGTACGTATTAATTAATATATTTATTTTCGGTTTTACTGTTGAATCATTTTTATTTGTCCTGTACACAAGTCTTACACTTAACATTGTCAGCGATTTTATACCAAAACATGAACCATGATTTTGTAGATTTTGATCTGATTATCTTAAGACCGCTAATGTGTAAATAAGAGCAGCAAAAGAAGTTGAATGCAACGTGCAGGCAGATGCGGCGCACAGACACAAAGAATTGCGCTGCTAGCCAGAAAAAAAAAACAAAAAGCAACTCTTGACTTGACCTCCAGTATTCCCAAAGCGAGCCAGTCGTCGACGGCATTGGCCTTCCTCTCCATCCCCCCTCGCTCGCTCACCCCGTCTTCTGTAGACTGTATAAATAAATAATGAGACAGCTTCCCCTCAACTCGACTACCCACCCCACTACTCCCTCATAAAAAAAAAAAAAAAAAAAAAAAAAAGAAAAAAAGAAAATTCTGTCACATGACCCCAACTCTCTGGCAAATAAATCCTTGATGGCTATACTAAGTTTACATCAGTAAAATGATTAACTCACACATCTTCTGCGTATTTTGAGCATTGTAGAAATACACATTTGCATTTCAATTCAAATGGATTTCTGCCACTTCACCTGCCATTATTTATTTGTCATTTCGAGGCACTTATTTTTGCTAATTTAAAAACATCTTTGAATGGTTGTGTGACCACAACGGTTATAATTAGAATTCAAACATTTTGATCGAACAGACCAATCGCCCCCTCCAAATGAAAAGCTTTTGTATTTACGTTTAATAAATGTTGAAGAAATTAGACAGCATTTGTAATTTTGTGGTGAATCGGCAAAATGCCTGCATCCCATCTCGATCCTTCAAAATAAAGGGACGAACGTGCACACACCCAATTTGTTTGTCTCGACTCCATTGACTGCATTTTATGACATCTTCCGATGCCCTGAGAGCAATTGACTCGTGTCGCCAAGGAGCCTTTTCCATTATCATTGCCGTGGCTAATCTCTATCCTCCCTGTGCACGCACAAGCAAAAGATAAACTGTTCTATAACAAAGAGCAGGACTGACTTATCTCTAGTCTAATATTAACCTATTGAGTGCATAATATATGAAATTATATTTGACTTAGCTTCCTACATTGCCCGGCGTTAAGGAAGAAACAAACACAGCACAAAAACACTCACACCCTTATTCTTTCGTCTCATCTTTTTTTTTGGGGGGGGGGGACTCACGAATCCCCGTTCGGCCCTGCAGCCACAATTAAATCTCCCAATCACGTCTGTGATGTAGGCCAGGGGAACATTAGAAATGCACACTCACAGGCAGCCAGGCAAGACCGCAGGCAGG